CCCGGGGGGGGGGGGGGGGTTGGTGGGGATGGTCGTGGTGGCACAAAATAGGAACATGAAAGTGCCCCCAACCTCGGGAACGTGCAAGACGGAGGAGGGTGAGGGGCTGGTGCCTGCAGAGCTCTCCCGGCAGGGTCTCCCTCCTGGCACCGATGTCCCCAGGCTGGTGGCAGGACCTGCCCAACCCCCGGCAGGATGCTGCAACACACACCCGCAGCTGGCAACAGCCCCGCGCCTCCGCCCGACCTCCTGCACCCCCGGAGCACCCCAGCCCTTCTCAACACCTGGCATCATCGAGTCATTAAGGTTGGAAGGGACCTGAAAGATCACCAAGCTCCAAACCCCCTGCCATGAGCAGGGAACCACCAGCCCAGGCTGCACAAAACCTCATCCAACCTGGCCTTAAAAACCTCCTGGGATGGGGCATCAACAACCTCCCTGGGCAACCCATCCCAGTTCCTCACCACCTTTAGAGCAAATAATTTCTTCCTAATATCTGACTTAAATCTCCCCTCTCTCATTTTAAAACCATCACCCTTTGTCCTATCACTGTCTTCTCTGATGAAAAGCCCCTCCCCAGCTTTCCTGGAGCCCCTCCAGGCACTGGAAGGTGCTCTAAGGTCTCCCTGGAGCCTTCTCTTCTCCAGGCTGAACACCCCAACTCTCCCAGCCTGTCTCCAGAGCAGAGCTGCTCCAGGCCTTTGTAATCTTGGTGCCCCCTCCCTGGACCCTCCCCAACAGGTCTAGATCTTTCTCGTGCTGAGGGCTCCAGAGCTGTACACTGCATTCAGTAAACGTGGCTAGTTCCTAAAAACTAACACAATCTAGAGCTAATTTCCTGGCAGCAGGACACGAAGGACATGGGGGCTGGAAGAGGGTCCCAGTTCCTGCTGGCTCTGGGTGACTTGTGGGAAAAGACACACAGAAAAAGGGGTTCGGGTCTGCAGGAGCAAAGGGATGAGGGTCCTCCAGGATGAGTGCAGGGTGTGGGTGGGTGACCAAGGAGCATTGCTGCTCCAGGAGCATCCCTGTCCCATCCCCAGGCACGGCCAGCCCTGTGGGGCTGTGCCAGGGTCAGGGTGCAGCAGGGGCAGCTGCAGGGCTGCCAGGCTGAGGGTGGTTGTGAAACAGGGTGAGAGGCAGCAGGGCTGGGGCAGGCTCTCCAGCTCAGCCAAGCTGTTTCCAGCCTGGGCTTTGCA